CATTTTAATTGACATTCTTAGAAAAAAATTAATAAAAGAAGCAGGTAAACTCATGCATTTTTATTCTGTGCTAAAAAACTACTCTTATAAAGCAGATCTTTGTGAAACTAAAAAGAAATTTAGGTGTTTTTAATGGATGAATTTTATAAATAACTTCTCCTTTTAAGTACACTAAAAAATCAAAATGTTTGCATTAGATTTACTTAAATAAATAATGAATTGAGTAAATCTAACACAGTTACTTCACATTCACATTAATGAAAAAATTGCTTTCGATTTACTCAATTTGGTTGAGTAGAACCTGTTGACATAATTTACTTAAGTAAATCTAACACTAACGTTTTTTTTAGTGCAAAATAGAATTTTTAGCTTTTAGATAATGATCCATTGCCCAGAGAAACACCACTTGAGTCTGGATTCTGGAGTTCTGACACATTTTTACTGATGATTGAAGGTGCTGGAGCTCGTTGTGACGTTTTTGTGTGTTTTGTGTTTTTCCAGCCAAGCCCATCAGTCTGGTGGAGCGGTGCTGGTGTCGCGCCACGCTCAGCACCGTTCCTCAGCGCTCCATCAAAGAGCTCAAGTTTCTGCACACACCAAACTGCCCCTTCCAAGTCATGTAAGTAAACGTTTCCAGCTCCAACTCTCTGATTGCTCTTTAATGTCATATTTGAGCAGATTTGATTTATTCTGCATATTTAAGGCAACTTTTTTTGTATTTTGACTGTAGAAACTAAACTTACAGAAAAAAACATTTTGTTTTTTGGAATTAAAAAAAGGGACAAAAAGCAGCTCACCTATTCAATCATTTACAAAAGCTTTGAAGTTTTAGATATAATATATTTAACCAGTTCTTAAAAAATCTCTGATCAGCCTGATTAAGTTTAATAAAATGATTGTTTTCAATCCCAGATGAATAAAAAAATTCAGTACACTTGACCAGCTGATCTCATTTTGGATATTAAGTTGTCAATTGACTTCATTTTGTTCTTGTTCAAACCACAAAAACATGTGAAGCAGAGCTTTAATAGCCTACATCACTTTCCCTGAATGAAGGAGATTAAAACAACAGAGAGAGGAAAGCACCAGAGCTCAAGTGGGCATTTATGTTGTGTAAAGGAAGCAATAATTCTGGGTCAAAGTGATTTCCTTTGTATTTCTGCTGACCTTTCGTCTCATAGCTTTTTTTCCCCACGTTTGAAACTTGCTCTGCTTGTAATGTCACCGGTCTGGAACATATTAATCTCATCAGTTGTTGGTTACAGATAACAGCAGAAGCCTCACAACTAAAAAAAAAAAACACAAAGGCTGTAGTGTTCAGTCACAAAAAGGGAGGCGAGATAAAGGGGCTGACCAAATGCCAAAAGGTCAGCGGGGACCAGCTACGCTCCGGCCAGACCCCGGACTTTCAGAGAACTGACAGACGAGTCGAGAAGTCATTCAGGCAAAAGTTTTCAGATTGTTGCTCCGGTATCTGAGCAGATGAAAGAAAGTTACTCTGCACCTCCTGTCCCCTTTTGTCATGTGTCCCACCGCGTGCCCTCATCCTCCCCCCACCCCCACCAGGCCTCGCGCTCCCCAGCACACTGTTGATATTACCTTGCTGTGAAGTAATTACTACCTGCTGCTTGTGGAACTCCAGCCCTCAAATTCCAGGAGTTTGGTCTGTGTGTGTGTGTGTGTGTGTGTGTGTGTGTGTGTGTGTGTGTGTGTG